AGAATTTGTCCCTAATCTGTTTCAGCTGTAGGGGACCGCTCGGCCAATTAAAGAGAACAGGCTTTGGCTCCTTCCCAAATGAGGTGACCACATGTTACCCTTGGATTGGTCACCTCAGGGGAGCAGTGGGTCACTGGGGCATCTGGTTGTCATTTCCTTCCAGAACAGCATGAGGCAGGAGTTGCACAGCAAAGAGGAAAAGAATTGTAAGTTTTCTTTATGTCATGTCTTGTCTTGCATCATCAAAAGGTCCAGTAATATCTAGTCAGGTTAGAAGAGTTTCCTATGGTTTGATGCAATCTGGGACTTGGAAATGAGAGAAATGTTTTTATTTGCATGGTTTTAAGGTGTCATTTCTGTCTCTGCTGTGATAACGTAAATGTGAAGGTCCTATTCATATAAATGAATTGTGGTAGATTGATTCAGGTAATTTTGTAATTTCTCTCCAATAGAAGATGTTCCCCCTTTACAAGGTAACATTCCCTTTTTTTGTAGGCAAGCYAAAAGGCTGAGAGCCTCCCTTATATAGGGGGTGTGTATGTGGGGGGGGGGGGTAGTATTAAGGTAAAAAGACATTGTAACTTGTAGTGTCTCAAATAAGTGATGTAACCTTAACAAAGAATACAGCTTATGAAGGAATAATTTTCTACTCTTCTGCAGATTGATTGGCTTCCAATCTACATGTACAATTAGGTCTACCAAAGCCATTGCAATAAGGCTGTCTTCAAAAAATCAGAAACATCTGGTTTCAACTGAGCTCAGGGACTAATAAACTAATATTCATCATGAAAGGGGAAAAGCTTCAATGAACTAGCCAGGTCAGTGAACTCATTTTCCTCTGAACGTGCCTGGCCCCCCAATTTTCAAATTGTTATGGTTATTGTAGACTCATTATTTAGTTTAGTTAATGAAGTAATATCAGTGATGAAAAGGCTTTCTTGTTAGGAAACATAGATCCTTCTTCTCGGCACAATGAATGCAGCATTTCCATTCCCGAGTAGTGATAATCAGGGTAGCTAAGGATTCATGAATGAGCTTCTGCATGCCAGCTGACTTGATAAATGTGTTTTTGTAGCCAGAGTGAGTGAGGTTGCTGGTGTTAAAGGGGCTGTGAGGCCCACTTCAAAATCGTTTGGAGAATGAGATGCACATGGAMCAGCTGATGAACCACGGTAACCTTCTGCTATGCCTGAGATCAGGATCTGAGGTTAAAGAGGAAGCAACAAGCTTGTTATCCATGTGGCGGAATGCACCAGATTATTCCATGGTTTTGGGGCGTATCCTAAAACAAGATTGAAGGCCATCTTCTGCCCCTGCGGTGGCAGTGGGCAGTCGTGAGAAAATGGACTTTTAAAAGTGAGGTAAATGTTAACTTCAAATAGGATAAGCATACATTATTATCAAAGCAGGAATTCTTAAATTTCTTCACAGTGAGAAGGGGAAAAAAAACAAGTTTTCTTTTTTTTTCTGGCTTTACTTGCTCTCTTCTTGTCTTCTCCTCAACATGACTTTGTTTTTCTTTTTTATTATGGCTTTATTTTTCTGTGAGCTGTTGACATCTGAAGCCAAACATCCCCATTGTGGAGAGAGGCTTCTTAGGTTTGACATGAGGCCTCCTACTCTGTTGTTATATAATCTAGTTTTGACACAGAATTTACTTTTTACTTTCTGAACTATGCTGTGTATGACATTTATCTGAAGAAGAGTGATTTTAATTTTAGAATCTGCACATACTCTATTTGCTTGCACAGGAGCTGTTATTTTTCTTTATAACTCTAAATATGATGAGTTATCCATCTAGCAAAATCAAGAGTCATATCCATTTACAAGCTAATTCATACTTAGTAAGTGGCTCTTAATCTAGAAAGAGCAAGGGGAGAAAATATTGCTCCCCTTTCCTTATTGCTCCCCTTAATAAAACGGCGTTTTGGTTCAAAACTGAAGTTGTGAGAATCTCAGAGGCTTTCCTTTAAAGGTTTCAGATTTCAAGATAGTTTAAGAATGAAAAGCTCAGCCTTTGACAAGGTTTCGATCAGATCAGACTTGATTAAAGCCTCTGCAGGCCTACTCATTTAACAAAGTCATGACTAAAGAGCTCATTTTTGACTTTTTACAGTTATGTAACAGCTTAATCTGAAATTTATATCCTAACCTGCAGAAGCAGTTAGTGGACCTTATCATACACCTTGGTCAGCCACTGAACACTACATCTAGACATCTTCTAAGGGTTTTTGTGCTTTGAAAAGGATGACTACAGTCATTAAAGAGTGAGATAGTTCTTGGTGAGACGGTAAAGGATCAGTTGTTTGTTCAGTGTCCATCAGCATAACCCTTGATGGCTGAAGTGTAGCCAGCGGTTACTGTCAGCATTGTCATGGCTGCTGTGTTTCATGAATATAGAATTATATAACTTTATATTAGAAGTTTTTCTTGAGGTCATTGGGCAAAATGACAAAAATGGGCATATATTTGCCTAAAAGAAGCCATCCTGCCTACCAACTCACCAACAGGATCATAAGCCCTAGGTGCTTCTGAGAAGTATGGGCAGCTCAGTAGCGAAATCATTCAGGAGATTTTGAAGATGAGGATGGAAATTTTAAAGCTGGCTGTGAATTGCTGCCCCAGCTGCTTGCTGTAACTTGATGAAGACCATACAGCTTTGCTTAGCAATAATCAGGGGAATAGCTACATTTGTCAAATGGGACACTTTTCAAAAATTCTGCAGATATCCTCAAGTATACTCTGTTGCAATAATCAGTGTGAGAAGTTTAAAASGACATCGTACTTTGATGTCCTTTTAAAGTCTATAACTCTGCCCACAATTGCACAAGTAGGTCCTTACATAATGAAATAATTATCTTCAGTGGTCTTCATTTAATTCTCCAATTACTGCAGTTTGTTAGCGAGGTAGGAGCCCCTTTTATAACTGTGGCTTAAAAATAATAAAGTTTTCTTCCAATTTGGGAGCTGAAGCAGACTATGAGAATGTAATATATAGGTGCTGTGCTTTTTGACTCTTAAGAAGACATCACTCAATATTAATTTGACTAGAAGATGTAGATGTCTTCCATGGAGTTCTATATGTTTACCTCCTTGGTGGATTTGACCCTGGGTATGTAATTAAAGATGGTAATTGTGCACCATATAGTCTGGTATAACTTCATCTGTAACCTATCTTTGCATCCTTTGAAGTTGATTGACATGGCTGTGGAGTTAGTAAACTGTAGCTAGTCAGTTTGGCGGTATAATCTTGATTAAAACTGAGATGGGATTTCATATAGAGCTCTGGAAAAGGAGTTCATAAATCTTATTTAATTTCATAAAAGTTGGGCAGGGGGAGGAATGCATACAGCTCTTGAGTAATATTTAGAAGAGATGACAAATTCATAACTTCATTTTATTTTTCATGCACATGCTTTTCCTCTGGAGGATGGAAGTTAGCCCTAGTACTTTAAAAACACAATGATTTTTGAAAGTGCTATTTGTCTAGAATTAATAGTATAATAAAAGCAAGTGACAAAATAGTGATCCTTGCACATCAGATTCACATTTTTCTTGCATAGCCTACAATTTTCTTACTGTATTTTGCAGTTAGCAATGCCGGTTCAAATCAATTCTTAAATTGGAAATTGAGAAATGAGTGGGGCTATTTTTTTTCCCCCTACTCTGCTTTAAGGTATGGACTTCCAAATCTTTAAGGGTTAGGATGGTTTATAGATGCCTTTAATCTATTCACATTTTACAAATACTGATAAAATGGCAGATGATAAATAACTGTAAGGCATGTTTTCCAAATACTGCATTTGTTATATCTCAAAAACCACTCCTGAAATCCAGATAACTGTTCTTTGGTCTCATAACTGGTTAATATCACAACTGAAGATAAACAAATTATGGCCTTTAGCCTGTAAAGTTTGACTGACATCATGTTAAATTAACAGATTTCTACCCTAAGAAAACAGAGGCAGCTTTTTCCAAGGCAGAAGAAAAACTGCAGCAACTTTTTTATTTATTTATTTTGGTAAGGTCATATTAAATCCCCCTTCCAACCTCTCTGAAACCCTGATTTGTAACATCTTCCAGAAGCACGCTGAAACGGCATTGCAGTTTTGCATTATCGAAGAACCGCCTAGTTTGACTTTAGATTAAATATAAACACTAATAAATGTGACTGGAAGAAGTAGGAATATTTGAATCCATTGAAGTGGAGGTGATTATCATAGGGAGGAAACATTATTTATCTGCATAGATTAATCATAGAGAACAACTGACTCTCCTTCTAGGTCCTTTTTCATGCCTCATCAGATGGGTGTTATATCCTCCAAACTGAAGCACTTGTTACTGCTCTTTGTTAGTCAGTACATGCCAGGTTTAGTTCCTCAGGTCTTTATCCCATAGCTGTTCACGTGCATGAGTTTAACTTTTTGCAGGCAAAGAATTATATATTTTTTTTGTAAAGTAGGATAGCGTAGTAATTTCTCATATATAATAAAATATTTCAATTTAGCCATGTGGAAAATGTACTTAGAATAAAATAAATCCTCATGAATAAAGTTACCAAATATAGATTTTGTAAACTATTGTATGGAATCTATTAGAGAAATGAGTACCTATTGGACTCTGACAACTTGTAGAAAAAGAGAAGATATTACTGCTACAATACTTCTGCAAGTTTAGGAAACTTTCTGCCTACAGCAGGAATTAGGTGTCTATTTTTAATAATTTCTCTTGGATGCAGATTATTGCATGGGGCTAAAACAATATTTCTACCAGTGTGCAGTGAAAACACATTTCTGGGTCCAGTATATCCCATATATCTAAATCAAAATCCTGATCCATTATCTCCAGAGGTGACTTAGCTCTGAATTTCTAGGCTAGGGCCTATTTCCAGTGTCTAAGTAGCTTTAAGACAGAAAAGAAGATAGGTCTAAAGCAGACTTTTATTTTTCCTCTTTCTCTCCAGGTACTAAAATATGTAAAAATATTAAACAAAAAGATAGGTAAAGCAAAACCAAAAGAAATCCAAATGATGATAACAAGAGATATGTTGCCAAAATTGTTAGGTAGTCTATTCAAATGTGATTTTTTTTTTTTTTTTGTGAACCAGAATGCTTTTGTTCTCTTTCTGAAGAAAGTTTGTGAATTAATATTATTAAATAATGATTTAATTTTAATTTAAATAATGTTGTGATATTTTATCCTGTAAAACTATGAATTGTGATGGAAGTCTCCCTGCAAAATGGCTGAAAGCTAATTCAGTTCAAATATGTATCTTAAGCTTGTTTGTTTAAGTAGATGAACAAATGAGAAATATGTAACACTGGGGTGATATTTATAGTTTGTTTGCACAAGGACTCCAGTGAGTGTGCACTGTTTGTTTGGACAAGTGCTACTGGATTTCAGAGTTGGCCTGCAGGTCAGGATCAACACTTCACAAGCACTGATGGAAAATGTTTCAGGAATTTCTTATCCAGGATTTCAAATCAGGTTTTGGTATATTTTCTTGAGAGCTGATAGACTTAACCCAGGAAAACAACGATAACATTTTTTGTTTTTAATTAAGAATTTAATTGAGAATCTTAGAAAGATATGGAAACTACCTATAAAGATATTTAGCATGTGATACATGATACTATAGGAAATAATCTAGTAAAAACAAGAAGATGGGTTTGGTGATCTAGAGAATACCTTTCAGTCCTAGGTTTTTGTGTAGGACATAGTCCTTTCAGTAAGAAGTAGATATTCACATCTGTAAAGCATGATAATTATATATTTTTAGACTAAAATGTGGGGAAAAAAAATCTTTATTTTTAATTAAACCAGAACATTTCTTCATGGCATTCAGGCATTGAGAGCAAATTTCTGGAGATACCTAAACATAAAAGATAGTCAAGACAGATGAGCAAGAAACTGAAAACAGGCAGGGATACAGGCAGTAAGATTTACTGTTTTCTAATCACATTTTGTTGTAATTATATTCACGTTATACTTTAATTACACAAGTAACTCCTAATCTTGTAAATTCAGATCATTTGCAGAAATGAGCAAGGTGTTTTATTATGTGGAGTCTGAATCTCAAAATTTTAGGGATTCTGAAATGTGCAGCAGCACAAAATCAAGAGAATAACAAGACATTCTTTTTTTCCTAGTAAAAAGTTTAGGAAGCTGGATGTGTATTTTGTATGACCTCCACAATTTGTTCAGTGACATAAATAGCAAAGTCACAGCTCAATCTATGACAAGAAGATACTTTTAATGGTTCTGTATTTTTCTGAAAACTGAGTATCTAGAACTATGTGTTTAGTTTCAGTGTTGTGTGGGGTTTTTTTTTTTTTCTTTTTTCTCCCCCTTATCTGAGCATGTTCTCTCTTTAGGATGATGATTTCCTCTCTTCACATATTTCCTTTTATTTCCTGTGTGAAGAAGGACCAGGAAGACACCTAATCACTTGTTAGAAAAATCCACTTTTACTTCAATAGAACCTCTAAAGGCCTTAATGGAAGGTGAACTTTTTTTTTCCTTTTTCCTCCCCTCCTGTCCTTCCCCTCCATCCTATAGTAATAGCACAAATTGCAAGGTCTTGAAGCCTTGCATCCATTACACCTTGCAGCTAACTGGAAAGGAAACTAATTGGTTGCAAATCTGTTTTGGGTTTATCTGAAGGTTCTTTACTCTCTGGCTATCAGTGCTTGAGCAACAAATGCAGCTTAGAGTTGCACCTGTAGGCACAGTCTTGCTAGCATAAGTCAAGTTACTGCCTCTTCTAATTAATTTCTGTTTGCACCATAGAAATACTGTGTTATAATTGTCTTGTAAGCCTTGCTTACAGGACCTCATCACTGACTATCCTCCAGCCTTTTTCTGAAACTGTTTATGACAAACTCGCCAAATTCCCTACTTGTGTCTCCATCCTTGCCATGAGAAAGTTGGTTCTTGCTTTTCTTTTCCCAAAAGTTGGATCTTTTTTTGGTATCGTAATTCCTTTACTGTGTGTGCTTTAGTACAAAGACAGGTTGTTTATACCTCTTCCACCAGGCTTCTACATATTTGATGCCTTATATTCACTGTCATTCTTGAGCAAAACAAGCCTGTCTGCTCAATTCACACTTGGATATTTTGTGTTTCTGTWATGCATTGACTGAGCTTATATATAAATCACATGTACTCTCTTGGGAGGTAGATAGAAAAGAAGAAGGGGGGGGGAAACTTTGCAAAACTCTTGGGTCTTTAATTAGTGGACAGAAATAACCCTTTTGCCACTTAGGCATTTTACTGGAGTAACCTGATCATCCTTAAACTGCAGTGTAGCACAGATCTATTAAAATGAGTTAATAAGCACATCACAGCTCATGTGGTTTAATAGAAATTTACGCCCACACCCTCCCCCCCCTGCTTTCCAGCCCCCTTTTTAAATTGGGTTATTAAGCCTTAGCAAGTGCAATAAGCAATGTGTGGAATAAGATGGCCAACAGTCACACAGCAATGCTTGTCATACACTGTGACAATAGTTTATTTCATTTTATTTGAAAAGGAAGAGTGCTTCTGGAGAGAGCTCCTTTTAGGAGGAGCGCTGCTTCCCAAATGCATCCTAGACATGGGTAAATAAAAACTGGCTAATTGGAGAAGGTTGGAGCGCACTGTGTTTGTGGGTAGAGCAGGTATTAATGTGACGGGTGGCAATTACGGATGCATTGTGTGAAACCGGCAGTTAACTGCCAGCTGTTCAAGCGGCACCAAGGGCTGGCCCAGAAACGTAATGGCGGAATGAGAAAAATGGAGGAATGGCCTAGGAGCGCTTTAAAGCACTCTGTCTATGCAAATCCTTCCGTTAGCTGCAGCTTGAAATAGTTYAGAGATAGGTGGGAACGCTTTGTTATTCTGAAGTATAGACACCTAAGAGTAATTCGGTCATTATGTATTCTGATACAAGCTACAGCTTCCTGAGAAGCAGCTATAAATATGACAGTGCTGCCGTGCGTGCAGCAGGCAGCAGAGCGCTGAGCTGCGTCAGAGCAGGCCCACGATTGGGAACCAGCTACTCCGGAGCTCGAGCCTGGCTCTGGTCTTC